TGCTCAGTCACCATACGGATTTTGTGTACATTTATGATCATTTCTGGCAAACTCAGCTAGCAGGTTGCTGTATTCATGTTCCACATGATTTTGGGTACTACCTGTGTTTGGACGGTTTAATTTCTACTTTGTACAACGAATCCATTAGTGCATGCAAAGCTATGCGTTTACTTTCCCATACAGATAAGCTATTTGCATAAGAGCAAACAGAGCTATTTACACTGCGTGGGCCCTGCGGCACAAGCCGAATGTGCTCTCGTCTAGAGCTTAAATCCTGATGGCGGAGCATTGCAGATTACGTCACAGACCGACAGAAGCAGCAGCTACGCGGGAATTCAACGAGCTCCGGTGCTGGTGAAGCGGCGTCGCACTGGGCGACCCTCAAAATGATGATGGCCGAACGCGCAGCTCACTGCTTGGCCAAACTTGGCCTGGACGCTGCCGCAACTACCACCGCAACCACCACCACCACTACCAACACTTCCACCACAAACAGCATACAGCCGGAAACAAGCGAATCACAGAATGTGATAGCCAGCACGGATTCAACAACTACCATATCCTCCACAACACCGAATGACCTGGTCACTCCGTTCGGTCATCATCGAAGGTTCCGCTATTTTTACCCATTTCAGTCTCAAAATCGAAATGCCTCTGTGCAACCAATGAAAGAACTATAGCGGCAGCGTTGAATTTATCTGTTTCTGAAAACAGTTTTTCCTTTTCAGTGCAGTTTTCTCAGGTAAATTTCGGCGTTTTTTTTTTTTTTTTTTACGAAATTTTCCTGCGCTAAGCTTCCACACCCTCTCTGGTTCATCGACTTAATTTTTTAGATTTTTTCTCATGACATGGTTTTTGGATGGTAAGAATATGGAAAAGTAAATTGAATGAGGCCAAAAAGGACCACCGTGGTCCTCCTATCACATTTTCATCTTTCATTCTTCGTTCGCTTCTCCGACCTCTTTTACAGTCCTGCTTCCTCTGGTGCCCATCACTTTCTGCAGTACGAAATTCAGTGAACACCTAGTACTGGTTGATTCTCAAACGAACTGTGTAACTACCGCTTTGAAATGGTTTTTGCATGTGTAGAACACTGAACGACACAATAACAGGCGCTCGAAGCTGTTGTTCACAATTATTTAACTTTTTATGTCTCAAATCACTTGATAATTGATGTGTTCCCACTGGCCACCCAGTTAGTTTTATTGCTCTTCTGGAATTAGATTCCCATTCTCACGCACCT